CTTGAATGGGTAATGAAGAAAAACTTTAATATAACAGCAAATGTACAACGTTTCAAAACCTTGTCGAAACGTTGTACATTTGCTGTTATATTAAAGTTTTTCTTCATTACCCATTCAAGCCGTCTCCAGCCATTATTAGTCTCAAAGTGGGTTCCTCGTCATCGAATCAGACTTACTGTAAAATTATACAGACAACGCAAAAAAGAAATTCTTTTGTTACCGGTTTCAAACACTATTTACAGAAATGCCTAGACCAACTTTTTCTGCATAAATAACGTAAACAAGAAGTAATAATGACATTGCTAAAATAAATTTATTACACTACTATAAACATGGCTAATAGTATTGATAAATTACTATCAGTGCTCTTGTTATTGTTGAACGTTTGTTTTTTAGAGCAAATCCAAGTTGCGCCATCTGCTGTGTCCACCGCAGGAATCGAACCTCAGATTTTAGTGTTGAAAGTCCTACCGGGGGACATTAAAGTTTGTTATTTGATCATAATGTTTACATTTCGAAAGTGATTCGTATTTTCTTTTAAGCCACTGGTAAAAAAAACAAGGTTCATCTTAAAAATACTTAAACTTGATTGATCATTGTTTTGTTTGTTTTGAATTTCACGCAAAGCTACACGAGGGCTATCTACGCTAGCCGTCCCTAATTTAGCAGTGTAAGACTAGAGGGAAGGCAGCTAGTCATCACCACCCACCGCCAACTCTTGGGCTACTCTTTTACTAAAAAATAGTGAGATTGACCGTAAGATTGTAAACACCCCACATCTAAAATTGCGAGTATGTTTGGGGACGGGATTCGAACCCACGATCCCAGATAAGATAGTCAAGAAAGTTACTGATATTTAAACTTCCGAAGAAACGATGGTTGCTATGTATGAATTTAATTTTCCACATTTGCCTTCAGTTTTGATATAAATATATACAGTGAAATAAGAAACGTTTGTTTCCAATTAACGGGTTTTAAATACCAACTACAAAACTTCTTTTAACATGAGATTAACAGAAATCCCTCCTCCCCTTTAGTCTTATTTGAAGCTGTTATTGTAATTAATACTTTAGTGTAGAATTCTTTACTTATAGTCCTTCAGTGGCTCAGCTGCAAGTCTGAAGGCTTAAAA